AGAGGCCTTGCCCGAAATGCCTATCATCCTATGGAAGATTAATAAAGATGATGTAAAATGCCTTGTGTCTATTTATACACCTAGTAATGAAGAAAAAAACAAATAATTTCTATTTGTATATCAATTTTAATTGGTGAAAATTTAATTCAAACTCTACTTTAATTATACTTGTTTTTACTTAATTGTACTCCATTTAAAAAATCTATATATATATATAAATGGACGTGTATGTCCCTATATTTCACTTTTCCACCAAAACTACACATCGCACGTGAATGGTATTTGTATGTGGTGGTAGCCCCAAGTCTCCATTCGTGCATAGGGGTGGTTGCGTCTCGATAGCTTAAGGGTGTGGGAGATATGAGGCTGAAAGTGGTTGAAAGTGGCTTTCTATTTCGAATGTTTTGTTCGAATTAAATTCGAACATTGGTTCGATTATAGAACGATTGTAAACTTTCCAGAAACGTTGAAAATAGTTCGTTTGACTAAATGTAAAAATTCTCTAATTAGTCTGGAAACGGGGGACCTAATTCTTGCATTCTGTGAAAACGAGTAAGATTAGCTATAATGTAATTATCTTAATCTTCACTATTGTTACTTTTTGCCCAGCGAAGCGGGTCCTTGCAGCTAGTATATAAATAAAAACTCAATGTTAAAATTGTACATTATTAGTAATGGTAAAGAAGAAATACAAGTAGAAAAAAAAATTTAAGTTTCTTCTATGATCAATAATTAACACACACAAAATCTGGACAAGGACTCATTAAATTTTAGATAAAGTACCAAATTCAAGTAAAAGTGAAAAGACTTACCAAGTCCAAATTTGAGTATTCAGACTTGAAAACCTCTAATCAAAACATATTTTCTTATTGTTGCTCTCACAGCTTTTAAATTGCTATTTACTTGTTGAAAACACAATTTAAATGTAGTTTTGATCAAGATAAAAGATGTTTTGCAACTTAATTCATAATATATTTTATATTCAGCTATTTATAATTTTATATAAACAATTTGAAATTGTAATACTATAACATCAAGACCAACACGATAGTGGAATTGAAATTTTCGTGATAGTATAAAACAATTATGAAATAATGTTGCTAAAGCTAAGACACATTAAATTTAATTTTCTGAATTAAGAAGCTATTTTCAAAAATAAATCTAAATGTGCACAAAGTGAAAAGTTACAAAATATCTAATAACAATATAAAATTCTTAAAATATTGCTTTGTGATCACCAAGCAGTTAAATATAGTTGTTAATAAATAGGTGCTTTGTATGCAGCAACATGTTTGCCTACTGAACACTGGTACAGTAGAGCCTCGGAAACTCGGCACTCCGGATAACTCAGCCACACCCTGGCAGGGCAAAAAAACCCCTAGTTAATTAATTTTCATTATAGACAGCTTTATGCCTCATAAAGTATTTTTCTGGGGTCTGTCTTATCAGATAAATTACTGTACACAGTGTATTCATTAATTTTCATTTTCATGTAGTAAAGGCTCTATGTTTTCATAAAGATCGTACTTTTCCTTTGTTTAAGGGTATTTGGGCAGTTTATTCTCTGTTGTATTCTCAAGTAAACAATACATATACAGTACAGTATTTTCTGAGGAAACACTCATACTTAGTTTTTTTAACTCCATTCCTGATAACCTGGCATTTTCACAAACTCGGCCACCCTTCGGTCCACATTTTTCGAGTTTTCGAGGCTCTACTGTATTTGGTTGCCAATGGCCTGGCCACATGGAGTTTTCTAGATTTTCTTCACACTTGTAACACCTAAATAGGGGCCAGTTTTCCATAAAAGACCTCCTGTGAGGCTTTCTCCCTTAGCAGATCACCCATTTGTTGCATTGCCATACACTACAGTAATATCCTGAATTACGTAACATGCAACTTAAGTAAATTCACAGTTATATAAAATGTAAATTTCAAAAATTGGAAAAATCTGAGTAGAGTAATATGTAATTTTACAAAGAATTATTCTATTTCAAACATTCATTCATTCATACTCTCTCTCTTTTCCTTTCTTTCTTTTGCACTGTACCGATTTATTACTTTATTGCTCTGCTAATCTTGTACAGTACTTTTCAGTCTAATTGTAAGCATGTACACAAGCTTACCAGGCATTCTTCCTCATAAACAATTCTTTTATACAAAAAAATAATAAATAATATATGTACAGTACACATATAATAATAAATACACTATTGCGTTATTAATTATGTAGTTACACTTAAGCAATTTATGAATTTACAAATTCGAGTTATGTAAAGGTCTCCAATCCATATTACTTATGTCACTCAAGATATTACTGTACTAATAAAACTAAGTTTACAGCATGGCAAATAATACACAACAATAATGGTTTGGGTTTTAAAAAATGCAGACCAAAAACAAAAAAGGAATAAATTACAATATATTCTTAAGATGTCTCTGACAGTTCTATAAATTGGAGAATTGATAGACTATTGTTAGTGACATTGCAAAAGCAAGTTTAAGTTTTCTGCTATAGGAAATGTTGATATATGATATGATGCAGTTCTTTTTGGTTAATGGAATGTCAGAAGACTATCGCATTTAACAATTTAGTCCATGCAACTGTGCCAGCTTCAGGTAGCCCACTTGACTGTTTGTAGAGCACTTGATGTTATATAGTTTAAGGGGTGTAGTGACTTGCCCCCACCCGGCCACTGAGATGTGAGCAATAGCAAGCACTGAGGCGTACGTCTACATGCAAAGCATGTAGACATACGCCTCAGTACTTGCTAGGAAAGGCAGTAGACTGATACATGTTAAAAACTGACCTTCGGAGATGAATATCTCACAAAGGGTCAACAATTCTGAGGTTGGTGTAAAACCCCTCATTCAAAGCTTGAATCATACCCATTGCTGTACATATCAGCTAGTATCCTGTTAATTGTAAAGTATCTATGATGCCTATGATTGATTTCAGTTTAAGAATCAAATGTTCTGCAGGAAGCTATGTTTGAGATGCATATTACATTTCTTGACACTTGGGACATTTTTCAAAATGTAAACATGTGATTAATATCATACTACTAACATTTTACCCAATTATATTTTAAATGTAATTTTGAACTTTTCCCACATTGTTTTGTTTAAAATGTTCTATCAAATTTTAGGTACATAGATTTTTCTTATATAAAACATCAGTCAAAAAATATTGTATCAAGAGATGTGTACAGTACATTGCATGAAATTTGGGTAGTAAAAACCAAAAGACATTCTACCAGGAAACATTAGGTGGGAGATTGCATTGTGGGAGATGCTATAGGTACATCTTTCAGAAACATGTTCAAATTTAGCAAATCTCAATAAAAAAAAAACAATAAAATCTGTAATGTATTTTTCTATAAAATAAATCTGTAATTGACAAGATTTAATCACTACCAAAAGCCATTAGTGTCCTCTGATAAAAGATGTCTCTCTGTATGAAGCCAAAAATTCTTTCATGAAGTATTCTGTTACAGTTTTTCTTATGCCACTTCCAGCTAGAAACATATTTTTGAATATACGAGGGGAAACCCCCAAAAAAAAACTGAACTGAGAGCTCGCTGCAATTCGTAGACATAGTAGAGAGTTCTCCGGTTACATGGGGTTAGTAGAGACCTTCACGAAACAGCTGTGCAAATGGAGTCAGTTTGTAGGTTTATGTTTGAGCATAGTGTTGTGTTTCTCTTACTGTTATTTTGTTCTGCCTGAGAAGTTCTGGGTGTCCTTCAACATCTCAAAACGATGAAAACGTTGAAAAAATCCACCAAAAATATGTTAAGACATCTGTGAGAGGATGTGCGAAGGAAACGCCCGGAACTTTGGCGATCAGGTGACTAGTTCATTCATCATGACAACGCCCCCACACACACAGCCTTACAAGTGACCCACTATTTGGCCTCTTGGGGATGGCCTGTCATTCCCTACCCTCTGTATTCACCAGACCTAGTCCCCATGCAACTTTTTTCTGTTTCCGAGAATGAAAAAAAATCTAAAAGGGAAGTGTTTTGATGATGTGGAGGCGATAAAAACAGCTTCGCTAAGGACACTGGACGATATCAAGGTTGAAGAGTTCCAAAGATGCTTCAAACAGTGGGGAAAAAGACTTGACAAGTGCATCGCATCTAATGGAGAGTATTTTGAAGGTGACTGAAGGAATTTTGTAAAAAAGTTAATAAATAAAGTTTTTATACAAAAAAATCCGATTTTTTTGGGTCCCCCCACATATTTCCTAGCTGGAAGTTGTTTTTTTAAATTCCTCTCACATGTTCACTGAAAAAATTCTTGTAATCTATATAAAGTACATGTCAAAAAGCTATTTTTCCAGAGATTTTGTATGATATGGTACCAATCACTTGCCCCATCATTATACAATATATAAATATCCTTGCTTTGGCAATATATCTCACTTTGTATTTTTGTCACCTCTGATAAAAAAACACATATATATCAAATGTTGTTTTATGATACTGTTCTTATTTTTTACTGCCAACATTTCTTAGTTTAAAATTACAGAAGAGTTTTGGGACTATCTCATAATCACTTCTGAACCCTTGTTTCCTTTCGTTTTGTTTATTCATACAAAGATGGCTTGCAACTCTTGCAGCATGCTGATGACATCTAGTGAGATAAATGCTTAACCTACATTCTAATGTCTTCTCCGAATACATGGTGTTTTATATTTTTAATTAATTAAAATTTTATATTCATTTTGTACAGTTATGGCCTGGGAGTAACATGAAAAATCCCACGTGAGGATAATTGTTACAATGATAACTTGTAACATATTTAACTGTTATGCTTATTCTAGACAAATAATGTATATATATGTATGTGTGTAATGCATTACATGAAAATTTTAAGTAATTTTATCCCTATTTGTTTACTCTGGAAGAAGTGAGAACACGAGACAGACGACACCGTTCAACTGTTTTCTTTAAATATCCGTTTAAAACATCTGTATATATTAAACACCCTCGCACCTGAACTCTCCGGGATTTCTTCCTGTAAGTCTTTTTATGTTTTCATCGACATTCTTCAAACTATTTTGTGCTTCTTCGAATTCTTCTTTCAACGAAGCATATACAGTCAACGCCGCCATCTTGCACTATTGTTTCAACTTTAGCGACCTCTAGCGAACGATCGCTGCATTACACGGTATAAATAAAACACGCTTGTTCGTTAAAATTAATTATCTCTTGTAAAATAAAAATTCCTTTTTTGTGCGCGCGTATAATATGATTTATTTTTTCTCTCGTTCAAATTTTTTACGACTTTCTTTACTATATTATCGCTATAAACGCATTTGAGTTTAAGTAAAACGATACCGGTAATGGTGTCGGTACCACGTTGACCCCCCCTCTACGTTACCACGGTGACCGATTAAACATAATCGAGCTTCGTTTACCGATCTATTAAATTAAAGAGTTTAAAATATTAAAAGAACAAAACAAAATTTATATTTTTCACAAATTTATTTTATTTATATTTAATTAAACAATATAATATATATCCAATTATGCGTAAGCTTTTACACCAAGCTTTTAACAAAACATATTTAAATTTTCAAAACAATTAACTGTTACATATATCCCCAATACTTAAAATGATTTTCTTTTTATGACAATCGAATGAATAAAGTTATTTACATATTTTGGCGGGATTATTTATATTTATCAACCAACTCTCTTAACCTATCTTGATTTGCTCCGGAAAATTCTTCCAATTTGTTACGGTTCTTCAAAAAAATAAAAGTCGGCATGCAATTGACATTAAAGTCCTGTGCCAACTCTTCGTTATCGTCGACATCTACCTTGAGAAATACTACTTTATCAGTATTCTCCTGTTCCAATTTCTCGATGAAAGGAGCTATTTGCTTGCAAGGTCCGCACCACGTCGCAAAAAAGTCAATAACAACCAGCTTATCTCCTGCTGCATCCATTTGGGCATCGTAATCGGCTCTATCGGTAACGTGATGAACCATAATGGCGATATTTCTCGATACAAAAGACAGAGAAACAGTTAAATGAGTAGAGAACCCAACCCACTTCTTACAACAATGGCAAGCGTCACTACTACTACCACGACTCTTAAACACTAGTTACGTCATCTAGCAACAATACGCAAGACCCGACAGGGCGTGTATGACACACTTCCTTTCTATAATTTAAATGTATTATTAACTAAAATTTTAAAATATTTATTAAAATAACAATTATCTAATATATATTATTAATTAAATTATAGAAGTTCGAAATTTTCATTTAATTAAAACACTAGAGGGCGCGACGATAATATAAACGACCCTAACATGTTAATCCATCCCCACATTACAATGGAGTAATGGAGATATCTGAAAGCAAATAAATGATTAAATCTACGTTATTTTACACATTCTACGATAAATAATAAAAGTTCAATGACTTTTGTTGCATAAAAGTTTTTTAATAATTTAATTTCAATGTTTTAAATTTTCAAATATTTAATAATACAAAAAGATAATAAAGTTTTATATTATAAATTTAAATTATCAATTGAATCTGAATTTTTCAGGTTTCATTTTTTTAAAAATCTTACATAAATTTTTTTCATATTTTATATAATTTCCAATCAGAAAAAAATTAATATGATGATAATAATAATACGTCTCGATTTTATTTTTACAATATTCATATTAATAAAAGTTAAAATTGTAATAGGGTTTTCTTCTTTCCATATTGTGTTAATACATCATAAATCTCGGTTGTTTTTCCTTTTTTTTTTCATACTGACACGACATTCATTCACATGAGTAGTTAACTTATATGTGCTGCGTTTGCAGGGATTAATTATCATTATTTAATTATATGTATAAATGATTATCGTAGAAGTCAAAGGACGATTCTGTGATCTTCAAAAAAAAATCAAATTTTTTTCTGATCAATTTTTTTTAATTTCATCTTTCGAAGTCCAGAATCCTCTCATTTAATTTTCCCAACAGTAATTGAATATTTGTAAGTTTATTCTATGATTCATAATTATGAAATCAATTGAGCGTATAAAATCTTTTCACGCTCATTATTTAAACTATAATTGGATATGGTGATGCTTGGTTATAGCTTAAACACTGATGATTCCTGTATTTTTACAGAACAGTAAAATAATTAATGAAACGTATATATTTAGTTAATAATCTTAACGGTTCATAGAGCTGATGCCACGACATGTATGATGCCAACTCTAAAGGAAAATAAATAATGTTTTAAATGGTGCCGGTCCCAAAGTTAAATAAAAAAAAATAATTTTTATCCTTCAATTTTGGGATCTGGCATTACTAAAATTATTATTCGCCCTTTAAAGTTGGCGAATTTTAATCCAACTTTTCACGATTAGACATTCGTGAAAAGTCTTCCATTAAAATAGTAGCCATTTCTTCAACATTATATTATCATGCTGCAAGTCTACAACATAACTATAGTTTCAGCTAATAAGAACATGACAATATTTTTAAATATTTTTGCAGGGATATCTAATACATTAAACTGTTGACAATCATAGCATGCGATATTTATCACAATTTAGTTTTATTTCCTGATTTTATTTAATTTTTCATGGAATTTTTTAGAATGTGATACAAATTATACTGGTTATTTATAAGTATTCTTCGTGGTGGTTCCGTAGTGTAGCGGTTATCACGTTCGCTTTACACGCGAAAGGCCCCCGGTTCGATCCCGGGCGGAACCATATTTTTTTTCCCCCTTCTCTTTTTTAAATGTATGATCAACCCACCGCTGTAGAGGTCAAGTTCGAATCCAATTCAGAATTTATAGTCTATCATAGTCATTCGTCTCTCCGCTCTGTTGATCACCGATGTGAGGGAAGTCGAAATGTCTTAATTATGCTCGTGCTTCACGTTGACAAATCAAATCGAATGTCCAATTAGCATTCAGATCTGGTATCCAACAAGTCATTAAATATCTTTAAATGCATTTATTTAATTTTGATTCAAAACATATGTCATTACTGTTATATTTAATAATGTATTAAACAATCGTAATTACTGGAATCACATTTTAAAAAAATATGAATTTTAATAATAGAATTAGATTTTAGATGTAATTTAAAATATATAATTTACAGATAAAAATTATAATGCTAATGATATGAAAAGACAGTGTTAAAGGTTATAATTTTAGACTTGTAGTAGCAACCGAAGATCCTTCTACTGTATGATGTTTATTATAACATAATGAATTCTAATTATAAACTAAAATTGCATTTCAAAATTTAAGTTTACAATATAAAAAGAAAATTTATAAAATTTAAAATGCTATTTCCTTTTACATTTGCAATTGTTAAATTCATATTAAAGACCTGTTTTTAAAGTCAAAAATATTTAAAACTGTTTTGCTTTTATGTAATTTTCGAATAAATCTGAAGAATTAAAAAATTACTATATATTATTTGATTTTTCAATTTAAAAGATTCAAACAAATTAAACAATATGTGCTAGTATTTTGATCTGTAATTTATTTAAAATTATTAATTGTTACCCTTTAAACTTCTTCAATTGCACAATTGTTCCGAAAGATTAAAAACTGTAATGTTTTCATTTAGTAATGTATATTTTTAAAAAGATTTTATTGCCGTGACTAGATATTTTTAGCATTGTATTAGTTTAAAATATAAACATTACAGTAATAAAATAGCTTTAATTGCGACGTTCTTTATTCTGGTGTTAAGCTCAAAAACGTTGAACACAATGCTTCAACAATACCTTCTAAATTAGTAACGAACACCGTATATTTGATCAAAGCAATTTTAATTTATTCAAATAAAAGGCTATAGATTCTTATATATATTTATTATTTCCATCCTATATAGATTATTTGATTACCTTAATTTCAATTTTGTTAATTTTATCTTAAAATTCTCAGTTATTAGACACCCGAAATGTTTTGATAAGGTTTTACTATACAATACTAAATGATGCTCAGCAGAATTATTTCACTGAGAACGAAACGAAACAAACTAAATTCTATATATAAAACAAAATTTAAAAACTATAAAACTCTGATCAAATGTTCTTTAAGATTAGTTGTTACATTAGCTTGGAATTCAGTGTTAAATAGACATTTTATAGCTTACAATTCAAGCAATGTTATTTCGACTTGTGTTTTATTATTAATTTATATTTAGGATGATTTATTTACTTCTTGGTTAAGAAGTCGCCAAACGTTAATCCATTATTTTTGCTAGTATATTGACAGATTCTGAATCAGAATAAACATAACTATCAATATTATATCTACGAGTAAATCAGGATATTTTTTAGCGTACCAAGTATGTAGTCATCGTGTCTTACACGCAACTTGCAATCACGAATAGCAATATCAGATTACAAATCGTCGTTATTTATATATACTTCTAGAACTTTTTATTTATTTTCGACGTAGATTTAATATGAATGATATATTTTTACTGAAGACCTAATATTTTTAATCGATAGCTAAGTTTATTTTTGGAATACAGCCAACTAGTACACATGATTCTTCCTTGACAATTTTGGATTTTATCACGATCGTAAAATTAATCATTTTATGAAGAAAATTTATTAAATTTTTCAGAAACGATACTAAAATTGAAACTGGAAATACATATAAATGATGAAATTAGAATTAACCTGTGATCTTAACAATATACACAAACATTATTATAAATAGGACCGCCGAGAACTTGTATGGAGCCTGGGGGTAGAGCGGATCCTTTTGGCTCATTTCATTTCTTTAAAGAAAAAGCTACATGTAGAATATTTCTTTATCAATAAAAAGCAGTCTTAAAGATCTTATGTTAATAAAAAAAAATAATGTTAATTTTATAGGGTTTGGAATCACTTTGGGTTTTATCCGAGCCCGGTGGAATCCCTCTCGAGTACCTCCTCTCCGATTATAACGCTTATGATTTTGCTATTTTCGTATTTAATAATGATATATATTATTATTATTATTTAATCTTAAAATCAATCATTTGTGACAAACTGATATAATATATTCAGAAAAAGTTAGTCACTAAATCGAATTTATAAATAATTTCAGTTCATGCAGATAAATCGATTTTTTTCTGAGAAAAATTACACAGCATTTCTAAAATAATTTACGAGAATATAAATCAAGGAAGCATTTATCGATAGTTACGTAATTTTTAAGCAAATAAACTTTTTCTAAGAGTCACATATTTCTAAATAACATTTTAGAATCAGGTTTTTCCTCTGATGTATAAGTTTACTCAAAGGTCAGTAATGTTGCATTTCCGCATTGACACATCATCACCAGCAATACGTCAGCATATTTATTATTTTTTTCTTTATAAATTTTTTTTAAAAAATACAGTAGAGTTTTATTATATAACTTAAGAAAATGTTGCAGTAGAATGAGGTCGTTATCGATCGTTTGACGCTATATAAACATTCTAGGGTGGAGTCTAAACTTTCTCGGTTTTATGGCGTTGGTAATTATTATCCTAATCTTGTAAGAGAAAAATACTTCTCATAATGAAATTACAGTTTGTAATAACTCATTCAAATACACGTCTTTTAGAAATTTCTCAGAAAATAATGAAGGATTTCCTATGTGTTAATATATCTGATACGGAAATCCCCTTTTCTTTTATTTTTTTTATTACATTCATTTTTTTAATTATTCAGAATTTGCTGACTATCATTAATTTTCTAAACTAATTATTTAAAAAATAATCATCTATTTTAAATTAATTTATGAAAAATATAAATTTTACTGATAAATATTCATTAATTCTTAGCTATAGTTTTAATTCTGAAGAAAAATCGATTTTCTAAATTGAAATTAAGCAAGCGTTATTAATAATAAATTAAAAAGTTAAAAAAAAATCAATAGTTTGACTTTTAGAAAGGAACAAGGTCAAATCATAGATATTTTGTAATCATGTCTGTTATTTCTACAATTTATACAATTCCTAAATTTTAATCACAAAGGAATAATTTAATAAATAAAATTCTATAGATAAATAACAATAGTGATTAAGTGATATTTGAAATTTCAAGAATTTGTTATTTACTAATCTAAATCATAATCAAAACAATTAAATTCCTGATGTGCTTATAATACAAATATTACTCATTAATTGGTTATTTATTTGTTTTTTTTTATATTCTAGATATTTCCAAATACTAAAATATCTCAGAACAATAGTACCGTGTACACATTTCAAAATATCTCTTAGTCATTGCAGATAAATTTAAATATTTATTACACATAATATATTAATGTTAGGTACTATAACTATACATATTTTTAATAAATATGCAAAATAATCTTTTGATAATTACTTCCAATATGCAACCAGAATATATAATTTGTAATTTAATCAATGATCAAGTATGGTAAATTTAACATGGTTTAATAATTTATACAAATTTAATTGTGTAGAAAAGTTTAAAAACTTAAGTACCGGTACTTATTAACTAATTACACTTAATGCATGTTAACAATATATAAGCTTGTGTTATATTTTATGATTTTATTAAATAAAATTTAATTAAGTTTTATTTACAACAAAGAAAAAAAATAATCATATAAAAGTACATTTCTTTCTAAAAAATAAAGAAGAATATAATTGTAAATTAGATATTTTTAACCAGTTTTTTTAACATTTATATTCAATAAATATGAAATCAAATTAAATATTTGAAGCAATAATTTTAATGACTTATATTTTAGCAAGTGTTATAATAATAAAAAATTGCTTATGTAACAATAGCTTATTAAATAAAAGATAAATTTTGTTTTAAAGTTTTATCAATACATTTTCCAATTGAAAGATCTTAACTTTTTTTGACAAGAAAAGAAATTTATTCAGCATATATTTTTAATACATTAATAAAGAACTTCATTATTTTTAATAATTGGTTCACTTCTTCACAATCTTTGCACTTGAATTTGAAATTTGCCTTTAAAAAAATACATATTTATGTTAATATTTTTATTATAATAAATATGGTTAATCTTCTATATTGTTGTGTGCTGTGAAGTTTTTACAACAGTATAGAAGCTGATTTTCAGTAATTCTAGTTACTATAATAAGCCAAATAACTGCCAAACTAGTACCAAATTATTGCTGGATTGAATTGGGCAATTTTACTGCTACTATCAATAATTAAATGCTACATAATTTGGTACTAGAGTTAGGCATTATGTGCCATCTCTTATTAAATTTAATAATTATAATTAAATTAATATTTATTAAATAATTAGAATATTCTGGAAGAAAGCCTGAAGTGGGACTAACTCTAGTACCAAATTACTTAGAATTTAATTATTAATAGTAATGTTAAAATAGCCTGATTTAATACAGCAGTAGTTTGGATTATTATTATAACATCAGTCTGAGATATTTATATATTTATAGTCACTATTTTCAGAAATATCATTTTACAACTAAAATATAACAACTTTCTTACCTAAAATGAAAACAAGAAGAGAAGAAAATACAAAATACTTTAGATAATCTGTTGCATATATTAATTACAATAAATTTATACACAGATTTTATAATGAGTTTTACTTTATTTCGAGATTTGATCTCACAAAATAATAAAATCCATTTTTATCAAATAACTAAGAAAAATATACATTTTTATACATCCTATAAAAGATCCTTTATTTACTAAGATTAAAATTATAATAGATAATTCACAGTTTTAATATATCAACCATAATTTCTACATAGCTTACCAGTTATGAAAAGCAATGATAAATGTTTTCATATTATTGTGATCTTCATTATTACATAAATTGCTTAAAAAAATTATGATAAAAATTTTAAAAAATTAAAAGAACTCACAAAATAAATTAAAGAATCCTAGTAAATATGAATCCACAAATTAATTGTTTCTGATATATATGACATATTCATTATCTGCTAACATCTGGCTTTGGAAATATTTAAAAGACCTGGTGTGCTCAGTTTCTGTAGACACTATATAGTGTATGAATTACAACAGCACCTTCAAAATGACTGTCAAAAAATCAGAAATAATCAGAGATGTTTGAAAGAATTTAAGCATCTGTGATGAGAAGAGTGCAAAGTTACATTCAAATGCATGGGCGGAATTTCAAACATCTAATATAGTAAAGTAGATGTAAATTCTCCTAGATAAAATTTGGAAACAATTGAAATTATAATAACCTTTTATTATATTAATGCATTATGTTTAGCAGTTTCTTAGTTTTTGTTTACAAGCATTCCTATTGACATTGGCAGATTACAACTAAGAATATTAGTTTTATTTCAAAATTGGTTGGTTTGAGAACCCATTTTTTACTAGGACTTCTTACTTTAATGTATTATTTTCATCCTTAAAAAATTTTTACTATGACTTTTAACATCCTATATACAATGTTTAAAAATAAAAATTATATTAGTTATTTCTGTCTTTTGTTATTGATTCATTTTAATTATAATAAATTATAATTACCACAATTTGACATTCTACATTTTGATATTTGTACCTTATTAAGATCACTATCATTACATTTCATTAAATATTTATATTTTTATGTATAATAAACATTCTTTCAAATAATGCATTTCCCACTAATTAAAATGTATGGCACTTTCAACCGTAATTATATATATGTCATTTCCTATTTGTATGTACTTATGTAATAAACAATTCATTCTTTTATCATCGTCAGTTATATAATCTTAGATAAAAGTTTAGCTTTGATGTGAAGATTAACTTGATAAATAAGAAATGCTTCATAAAAAAATACAATTGATGAATTTATTGTATCATTGATTATTTAAAATTTTATATTATGAATAAATTGATTAAAATATAATTTTATCAATTTAATCATAACATTTTATCATTTATAATTTATATTTCATTCATTTAGAAAAAGAAGTTGCCTTTAAAAAACATTTCTATAAACATTTGTCCGACAGGTAGTCCCCAAATATTTGGATATAATGCATTCCTAAAAATGTGTATAAAATTCAAATGCCAAAGAGTAGAATAATAGAGTTAAATGTTGTAAAGGAGAGTTCCTTTTCCAAAGAGCTAGAAAGAAAAATTATAAAATCTCTTATTACAGGAGGAAACTTACTTTTATACAGTGAAAATGTTAAAAACCAGACTAAACAGAAAATAAACTATAAAATTAATTTTCATAAACAATTTTCTTGTTACTGAAACTAAAACTGGCAGAAAGTGCCAATGCGCAATATCAAAAGTTTCATTTGTTAGCTGAAAAGATATAAAAGTCCAAATTTAGATTATGAAAAGCAATTTAATGGTATTCAAGTATCAATATTATGTATTTATACAAAAGAGAAAGTATCAAGGACTGCTTATAATTGTATTTTTTAGTATTATATATACCAGGCCTGGCCAACCCAAATTGTTTCGCGGGCCACTTGGATCACACATAACATTATAGTGAGCCACAATTTAGGCAAACATGCTTTTAAAAATACAAAATGAATACAATTTTATTGTTATACCAAGAGTTTGTACTCGCACTTGTGCATTATAACAATGACACATGCAAATTTTCATGTATTTAATTGTTTTGATATACACATAATGGGAAACTAAAGTTTTAATAGATATATAATATCGCTTAGCGGGCCACTCAATTTAATGTGATGGGCTGCGGGTTGGCCAGGCCTGATATATACACTATAATACTAAATATCTAAAACTCAATACATTTCATTCTTAATACTGTACATTATAATTATGATTTGATTAATATTATATTAAGATGATATAATTTTTGATAATATTTAATGACATTACATTTTCTATATATACATATAAAATCAATGGATATATGTATATAAGGATGTATGTGCATGCATATTCTTACATATATGCTAAGTGACACTATCTTATAATCCTATTTAATTTTCATAGATAATAAAAGAATTTAAATACTGTAAGTTTCAAAATATAAAATAATTTTAAAAAACAAAACATTCCTTACAAGAGATGTATGAACTATGCAATTTTCTTTTAAAAACTTCTTAAAAGTAAACTACAGTCAAACCTTGGGTTTTGAATGCCTCGCTTTGTAAACAATTAGGTTTATGAACAAAATTTTGAATGCCATATTGCTCCAGTTGCCATACAATAAATTGGCAAGAGCTGGCCACAGATTAGAAAGACAGATGGTCAACTCCATATACTTCCTGTGTTAAAGAAAGTTGATGGCCCGACCAATCAACAATGGGACTACCAATTCAGTTTGTAGTACCAAGATTACATCGCATCATTAGACATCATGACACAAACCATTGATGCATGACATTGCTATTATTCAAATTAGATTTCAATGAGCATGTGGGTAAGATACTACTTCCAGTTTATGTCACAATTCAATTTAAATCAAATTAATTAATAAAAACTGTGTTAATTGACATCCATGAATTCATATTTAAAGATGTTTAACTCAAATTAAATAACAAAAATTTATTAACATAATATTATATATTATAATATTTATTGATATTAGGTAGCCACTTAATTAAACTAAAACTAATGATTAAATTTTAAAATAATAAATTAATTAATTAAAATTGAAATCAAATGAATTAAAACATTATTTTGGAAAGTATGGATAAAGTACTGTCTTGATTTATTTTATTATATTTCATCCAGGCAGTCTGAGTTGAGTCTCTATTTATAGCACTAATTTGTAAAGGGTTAGTTTCAGTTTCAGTTGGTGGTGATGGAACATTTTGCTTATAATATATTACATATATAAAGTATATATAGATATAGATAAAGTAATATTATATAGCCTTTATAGGCATTTTATGCATGAAATACAGCTAAAAATTTAAAAAAATGGTTTTGTTTTGGGGGTTGGGGATGGATTAATCCAATTTACATTGTTTCTTATGGGAAAATTTGTTTCAATTTGAGAACAAATCAATTTCTGAACAACTTTTAGAAACAAATTAAGTTTGTAAACCGAAGTTTGACTGTATTACAATACACTACCTTATAGTAAGTAATAAATACGCTTTGGAAATTTTCTTTCCTTTCTTTTTTCAATTAACTATTTCTTCTATGACTGCATTGTTAGAGAGATGTTTCTGTTTGTTTGGTTGTTTAGAACTGGCAGTAAAAATCCTATAATAATGTGTGATAATCATCTTGTGATATTTCTGATTAAGTAGTTTCTACAAAATGTAATTCAAATAATTTAATAAGACTTATAAGTTATTTAAATCTGCAAATTGTTAATAATACTTATGTTATTGAATATAAACCAACAAGACTAATATTGCTGATGTGTTCATTAAGCCATTGTCTAAAAGCAAGTTTGATATATTTATTGAAAATTTTTTAAATGACAGAAATTAGTGTTGTGAATTCATATTGTATGTTACTGCCATGGGGATATTGTTATTATATAATTTGGCAAAGTGATATATTGATATAAAAATGTTATAAAAAAATTGTAAGTTATAAGTAAGAGAGCCTGAGAGAGGGCTTAGTGGCAAATTAAGCAATGTTGCTAACTCATTGTTTTTTAACTGTGTAATGTAAGTTGTTAAGTTTATATTTAATAGTGAGGTGAAGTTTTAAACACGAAAATGCATACATCGGACATTCGGTGCCGCTTTCCCAGAAGCATAGGAGTTTGACAATGGTGTTTGGAATGTCAAGCGTGATTCCACCAACTATCCAAACACCATTGTCAAACTTCTAGGCTTATGGGAATGCGGTGCCGAACGTCCAACGTACGCATTTTCGCATTTAAAACTTTGGCCTCAACCTTGCTAATAATTAAATTGTTAAACTTCATAACTGCTCATCTTTTTGATACTTTTTTAGAACACAATTGTGATTTGTAATGATAATATATGTAGTATAAATTAAAGGAGAAAAGAGTTCATACATAAGTAGGCCTAAAAACCGTAACTGTTTATGTTATTTCTCATTGAATAAGATCCTAATATTTTTAGAAACACGCAAGCCTTAATAACAACTTTGCATCCTTCGGCAAAGAGAGGACACGTTTCTTCACATATTCAATGCAGCATTTGTGATGCCAAACTTTTCCAACATATTCCTGCAGTTAATGTTTATTTTCAGGCCTCTTCTATGAAAGTTTTGAGTCCATAATATGCCAAAAGTTCTCAAAAGGATTGAGATCAGGATTGTTACTGGTCAGCTCAGGTATTTGATCTGGATCTCAAAGGAATTTTTGACTTTCTGGCTGTTATGTATATAACATAGAAAAGTATTTTACCTAAACAATAGTTTTTTCCTGTTTAAGTGACAATAATGCTAACAGACCATAAATGACACATTATTCACCATTATTCACAGTGACATGGAGCAGACTCATTCTGAAAGATGCAAGCTTTTGTGTCACAACATTGTTCCTCAATCGGTGAAATGAATTAGTTTAACAGATAAGATGTTTTTGTAATATTCTCCATTCATAGACTTATTTGCACAGTGTAGTATGACTACACCATTTGATTGACTGGAAACTTTACTGTCCTACATCAATCATCCCTGTTATAAGCCTTATCTTTTCTATACCTAACAGAGCTTGCTGTCTGATCCATTCACGTTGAATTTGGATTCATCCAAAACCTAACAAAATTCCATATATAAACACTCCAGTCTGCATGCTATTTGGCCAAGAAAAGTTGTCTGTGCATTTTACTTGTCAGTAATGGTTTCTTATGTGGCTTTTAAATGCATATTGCACAGTTTATGTACTTCGTATTTACACCTGTCTACTCTTTCCATCTTACTTTCAGTTCAGAAAAACTAGTAGTACACTCTCATAGGATAAGATGCCTCACCATCCTATCCTGACACAATATACTCACATGTTTACTTCCTGGTTCAGCTTTTCTTTCAACATTGCCATGTTTACATCTCTTGTAACAAATGGACAATTGTTGATTGATGATAATGCACACTTGATTGATGATAATGTACATATTTCATGAACTGATAAACTCTCAGCATTCAAAGCAAC